TGTAATATCTGCATAATGAATAATAAAGGAACTGAGGAAAAGACCTCACTTAAAAAAAAAAAAAAAAAAAAAAAAAATCGATAAACTCTCAAAACTGATACAAAACCTACCCACCATGCATACCGATTTGAGAGGGTCGACTGTAGATTAATTTTTTGTCAGTTTTACAAGTTTAAGAAGTTCAACAGTATCAGCAGAATTGACTGAGTCTCAAAATTAAAATACGTTCTTTTTATGACACATTTATGATCTAAATTATTCATAGTTTCATTGCCACCCTCATAGGCAGACATTCGTATGATTGGATGTTAAAATTAATTTAATTTGACACCCTCAAATTAAGATTAAGGACTTTAAATTCTGGGTTCAAGCAGAATCGGCAAAAATGATATTATACTCAGGGACCTGCGTAATCTGGGATATAATTTAACAAATTATGTTTTCGATATCAGCAAATTATTTGATTTACTGCTGATTAACAATAAAAAGTACGAATTAGTATAAAATTCAAAATTTATCTAGTAAAGAAACTTGCTTTTTTTTTAAAAAAAATGTTGCGCTAAAAAAAAATTGCACAAATATATAACCCATAATATTTTTATTTCTTCGAACTATTGAAATATAAAATATTTTATTATATTTACTAAAAATATCATCATGTACTGTATGTTTGAAAAATACATTTTCTATAATCGAAGCAAATCGAAGCAAATCACAGTAAACCGCATACTTTTTGCGATTTGCTTCGATCACAGCAAATCACAGAATTCACATACCTCTTATCAGGCAAATATTAAATCAGCTGATGTCCAGTCACTTAGTTGGATTCAATAAGTAAATGGGCTTGATAACTGATTCCTGTAAGCTCAATTAAATAAGCTGATTCTTGCTATAATTTATGCTATTGTATTTCCGAAGTAGTGATGTCATCATAATTAAAATAATTTGGTTATTATAAAAGCTAAAATCAAATAAATTTATCGTTGTATTTTTAATTAATTTTTGCATTAATTATGCTTTAGAACCGATAGTATTGCGTAATATACTACGACGAATTTAATTATAATCTATTGCACTTAATAATATTTTTGCAAAATAAAGTATATCCATATTCCGAAGTGACTAAACCATTAATGAATAATAGCACAGTTTTTAGAAGTTAAATCCATAAATCCATTACAGTAATGTACTTCTAATCTTATATTGTGTTAGTAATAAATTAATAAATTTTATTCACAGACGACGTGAACATTACAGAAAGGAGTTAAGAAAATATTTAAATGCTTAAATCGTCGAATTTGATTAATGAATATTCTATCATATCTTAAATATGAACATCAATTATGCCACTAGGTTGTGTGGCGATAGTTACTTGTTAAATGGTCACCATGACAATGACGGTAAGTAAAAATGTGCCTCCTCATTCATCAGATTTTTTAAACCGGTTCTATGAAGATAATAAGCACCAAAGTTACATATATTATTACTGTACTGCATGTTTAAAAATTTTTGTTAAGGCATTTAGCATGTTTTATCAACAACTGACTTTTTACAAATGCTATTCATGCATACAACTTTGGGCCGTTCCAACGGAATCAACTCAAGCCTTATATGTGAATGTACAGCTTACTTTTAAGCTCCTCAGCAGTTATAACAGATATTTATATTTCTTTTTTTAGCTTTTTAACTTTTCAATCCGGACAATATTTTCTTGAATATTTAGAATTACTTCTGCAAGAGGATTATAAAATCATCACTATTTGTCTAGCATTATTAAGTGATATAGTATCAATTATTTTGTGAGGTGTACAGTTTATTATGTGCTGAAGTAGTCTCATCGATTCCTTCGCAGATTTTTCCCAACTAGACGCGAAAATTTCCTTATCTGTAAATGGCATAACTGCTGCTAGGAATCTAAATGATTCGTTATCAAAACAGTATATTGTATCTTTACATATCTTTATCTCAATATCAGACATTTTTTTAATTTCATCAAGCTGTTTCTTTAGCACTGGTAATTTATCTCCTGGACGAAAGAACGTTCCTCTTGTATTAGTACTGGTAATTTATCTCCTGGACGAAAGAACGTTCCTCTTGTATTAGTAAAGCAGAAGACAATATTATCCTTAGCACTTTTATGGAGGTGTGATAGTAGTTCTTGTATGCAATATTTAAATATTATACTCACTCTCGAGTTATTAGGTTTAAGGAGTATGCAAATTCCATTCAGATAGTCATATTGGCTAATGCGTTTTAAGGTATTTTCAAAATTTTTTTTATCATGATCAATTCCTCTGGTATCCCCTATCGATTAATCTTATGACTTTATTTTCTTCTGCATGGAATACGTATACGCCACATTCTTGAATAGATGACTCGCCTGCTTTATCATTTACGCCATCTTCGTCATCATCATCTTCTTCTTCACTCACTACCGTTATCATTTTCATTTCGTAATCCTCGTTCGTTATCGTAAATCTACATGTGATTAATACATCTATTTCACCAGAAATTGCCTCATTTAGACTATTAAATTTAAAATAATTTGCCAAAGCGTTCATAAATGTGGATTATTCCTGTTCCAATTTCACCAGCAGTAAGATGTTTATTTTTTCTCGTGAAGCTACAGAAGCTGCCATATATAGATGCAAAAGTTGTGAAACTTAAAAGTTTAAAGTAGCTTTCGCCTTAACACCTGAGTTTTAATAATTATGAATTTAGAGCTCTAAATAAATATAAATATAAATTATATTACATATGTAATTTTATGCCGGAGAAATTTTTTTCTAAATCACTTTTATAAACATTAAATTCCAATATAAGTCAACAGAGAAGTTAAGGCAATTTTAGCACTTAGGCACGTATGAACGTACGCGTGTACGACGTATTATAGTATTGTTGGAATAAATTCATACCAAGTTAAATACAAGATATCATAACAATAAATCTTGTGTTAAAGCCTGTTACGCAGGTTCGTCTAAGTAATATTATTACGTATACTACGTAATTTACATTATAAATATGCCAAACTTTTCATTCTTAATGATAACTATCCACTCGTGACTATTAAAATTATTTCCTCAAACAAGTAAATAAGAGATAAATTTAGCATATTTTCAATGCGATATATATGTTTTTTGTACGTACGTACTTTGTGTACAATAAAACTTTGATTAGGATAGTGCGTTGTGATGCAAAATCAAATGTCATTCTAAATATGCTAAATTTATATAGTATACATATAAACGTACGGTGTAATAAATACAAAACCATACTCCTCATGGAGACGCAAATATTTAAATTATAACATCACATGCGTATATAATAAGTACGTAGTACAGTAGTAAATCATCAAAAGCGGTTAACGTTTGTTTACTAACAAACGTCGCAAAACTTTGAAGAGCACTTGCGGGACCGTTTTAACAATTTTGTTACCGTTAGAATCGTCTGAATCTGAAGAGCAACTTTTGTTAATGCCAAAACCAATTTGAGCTCCTTTAATTCTTAATATAAATAAATACTATTTATATAATTAGGGGTGCGAATTCAACCTTTATTTCGAAATAACGCACATGCGCGTACTCGAAATAACGCGCAGGTGGGCGTTATTTCGCGCTTGTACGGTATATAATATATATATTAACGTTGACAATGTGTGTACGTAAAATATTTTACTGAAGTTGATAATTTAACAAATTTGACTTCACTAATATTTACATAAAATTCAAAAATTATAACATCACATGTGTATTTATAACGATGCGATGTGTATATAACGATAAATACACATATCAGATATAGTATATGTTATAAATTGATCTATATTAACTTATTTAACGTTAATAATGTGTGTACGAAAATATTTTATCGAAAATGATAATTTAAGAAACATTAGACTTCAATGTGCTAGCTACTTGATTATAAGCTATAGAGATTGCAGTATTTGAATTTCTTGTCCAAATTTGAAAATATTGGGGAAATAAGACAATGTGGATTCGCATTTATATATAGTGCAGATTGTTTCGACAAAAGACAAGAATTAGAATTCTAATCACGCTCAAAATGCTTGATCCATAGTATCATAACATAAAAAAAGTTATTGAAGAGTCAAAATATATTATAATGTGGAAGTTGAGTGCCTTTATTTTTAGAATATTTTGATATTAAATTCAAATGATTCATATCATATTAACCTTTTATTAACACACAATTATTTATTCCAGCTTAAAATTTTAAATATAATTTATAAAAAAGTTTGAGGCTAGTTTTATTTCCTAAGTTAAAACTGGGTTTGATCGATTTAATATGTAAAAATATAAAAACTAAAACTGGCTAAAAAAAAAAACAATTTATAAAAAATCAGTTGCAAAATATTGCCGTCAGTGACGTCTATCTACTCTTCAATAGCATAGTAATATGGCACAATGATTTTTCTTTCGTTAAATTCCAACTATAATTAATGTCCACATTAAACTAGCTTAATGGAAATTATAATCTTGAAATTTCCTGTTATTGACTCTTTTGCTTCAAAAGAAATTGACGAATTTTGGTTAATGCAGTTAACACTGCCATCCTTCCCTCTGGGTCTGCAAGATCAAGACCACTTAGTTTTTTATTCTCTCCTGGCCATCTTTTGATTGAAACTGAATATTTTTTTGGTAAGCCTGTGACAAGCTCATTCCAATATTTCCCGGGAAACTCAGCCTTGTAAAAAGTAACATAGGTAGAGATAAAACGAACGGCAAATAAAACCTGATCAGAAATCTCACCAGTATCACGTGCGTTTTTCATCGCCGCAAGCAAGAATTTCACCAGCAATTTGCGTTTCTCCATATTCAGTTCTAGCGTCAATGTTTCGTAAACTTTTATCCTGTCAAAGATCCATTTAAGTAATCAAAGATTATTGACTTACCAAGCAATAAAAAAAAAACACATACTTCCGAAATAACCATAGTTGTTGTTCCTTTTTTAACCACAAAATCGGGAGTTGCCGAAACATAGGGCTCATTTAAAATATGTAGCTCACTTGTTTGCTGTTGTCTGATTTGATGAAAGAAAATTCAAGAAGTCATTGGAATAAGGTAATAGGACACAGGCTTTTTCAAGTTACTCACGCTATTCTCAAAGGATAATTATTCAGGTGAACGATACGAAGAAGATCAGCAACTAAGTCATCAGTGCTGGACTCGGGTATTCCTGGTGGATTTCTCGTAACGATGTTCAGTTTATCGAAGAAGGTTTGAACGAGCCCATCGGAAAAATCACTTATTTCTCGAACAAGTTCTTTTTTACAGAGCATGTCTCTATTTATTTTGGGGCAAATATAGTTTTCTGGAAAATCTTCAATTTTTTCATTAGGGATAACGAGATATTTGGATGTTGGATGAAATTCACTCTCAGTACTTTTACATCATGTTTCGTAAACTCAGATGCTTGAGCATTGATGTGATTCGGGTGATTAAGCAGGCTTCTGACTATATTTCGCGAAGCCTTAAGGGTTGGGAGAAATTTGACGAATGCGGACATTGAAAAAAAATTCGATTATCAAGTAAGTCATGTGTAAAACGTAACTTTTTATAAGATGATGTAAATTGAATACGCAGTACGCGCCCGCAACAAAATTGGGCCGGCAGATCCTCGATCTTGATTGGCTAATGGCCGAGGATCTTCAAAATTTTGGCCCACATTACAAAATTGTTTACTAATTTCTGGCCGGAATTAACTTTTTTTTAATTACAAAAATAGGGATCCGTTAAAGCCAGGTTCGATCCCGAGAATTTTACCATGAATTTTTGTTTACACGGCGAAGCAAAAAAAAGTAAAAAAGGAGAAAAATACAAGAAACGAATGTCTAAACCTATCTTTGTGCATTAAGAAAAAATATCCGGCGGGCGAGTTTACCTATAAAACTCACTTAACCTAACCCTAACCTTAATGTAATTAAATTTTGTGACGAACCTGGCTTTAACGGTTCCCCCAAAATAGGAATTCTTAAAAAATAAGCCCGCATTATCAATTTTCATTTAATGGGCGGCTATGATTTCATAAGTAAAATTATGAGTAGTTTCGACCTAATTTTTTGATTGTCGCTCTTGCCAATCAAAATCAAGAATCTGCCGGTCCAATTTTGTTGCGGCGGCTAAGGTTAACAATTAGGTGGCCGGATTTTGTATTGCCGGTAATTTCTAAATTAAGGTCAGATTTTCATATTCGT